CCATACACACAGTGACATCAACCATGTGAAGGAAGGCCTTCTACTCTGTCTAATCTGGCTAACATAATAACAATGCCCATGATGTATAAAGAATAAACCTAACAGGTACAAATATAAGAGGGCAGAAATCTAAGAAGGGCCTTGTAAATAAAAGTGTACCAATGACACTTCCTTCTAGTAGAGAGGGAAGGCCATCCCACCTGAGCGTACAGGTCACAGTGATGTCATGGCTCTACAGTTTGTAATAAGCCTTAATGAAGCATGGGAAACAGAGTCCAACATTTGAAGACATTAAGAAGTAGCATTCTTATAAAAAAGGTCACCATAATCTAAGACAGATAAAAATGTGGCAGAGACAAGGCATTTATTTAACACCTTTAGTTTCCATAGTGAACATGGTTTCCTATTTTGTCAGAATTTGTATTATGGCATCTTTAATATGTATGTTACCATACTAAAAAAATGCATAAAGTGTAATTCATTATTAGACCAATTGTCAGGCTGTGATAACAGCTGATTTACGTAGCTATTACAGAAGAGTTACAAATAAAATCCAACTGAAACATTTGGAAGGTCCTTCCCCAATCCCAACCAAAACATCCAACATGGCTGTTATGAACACATGAAGGAAGTAGCTGGAGTAATTATTTGTTCATTTGGTTTTCTGTTTACTTCTGTGCTATAATTAAGGTTGTATTGTATCAGACTGTAGTTGAACCTAAATGTGAGCATTGTACTAGAATACATCAGATGGATTCTTGCTGAATTTGAACATACCTGTATTTTAATTGGACCTGCTTGTCTTGTGATATTTCTTGGAATGACATGTTGTAATTAAATGCTAAATAAAACTAAACCAAAAGATAAGTATCCCATATCTGACTTACAAACTGAAGGGAGCAGAGCAGAAACAAGATCCCATTTATTTAGGCTATTCATAAACATTTAATAACTGTGCATCTTTACTAATATTTAGCATATAAAGCTGTTTTAAGTTCAATAAATGGTAACAGAGCTGGTTAAGCCGTTAGTAGTTATTATTGCCAAACTGACAGAGATTTCAGATTTTGTTACGTTGAGCAAAAATTGTCTACTAAGGTATAACTTTGGATAAATAATATCAACAAAATCTTTGATACAGGCTTCAAAAACCTGCTGGGAACAGAATTGTGACCTTTAACAATGCAAATAACTGATGACCAGATTATATCAAATACATTTGTTAAGCAACATATAAACACTATTTCCTTTGAGTAGAGGGCCTCGGGGATACTGATCAGGAAGAGATTGATGCAGATCCAGAAGAAAAAAACACACACAATAAGATATAGATTTTTTAAGCCATTTTATAAAGCAATTTAAATCTAACCTCAAGTGTATAAAAAAAATCCCTTCACTAAGTTCATGTTTTTACTAAACAAAGAGAAAGCTAAAATAAAAGTAGAGTTGTGTCTTACAGTAGGTCCAGCACAAATAAAATTGAAAACTCTAATGACTGCCTTGTTATTTTACAATAACCTCTTAGGAATCCATTTTTGCTCAGGCGTTCCCTCCAGTTCCAACAAACTTGATGCAAAAAAATAAAAATAAGGTTTTAAAAATGTCTGCAGTTGGCCTCTGTCGCTTTGCCATTATATTGCAAAAAAAGTCTAAGTTTATATTAAAAACTATATAAAGGGACTAGGGAAGCAAATGTGGTACAAATAAATGCTTTAAAATAAAATTTAAAGCATTTATTTGTAAATTCATTTATTTGTCCTGCAAACACAAAAAAATTACATTTGCAATCCAAAAAAAAAATAGGCTAGCAAAAACCAAAGTTTGACTTAAAAAAAGCAAAAAACACATGCAAAAAAAAACGTGCTACAATAAAGAGAGCAACAAAGAGCAAAATGCTGCAAACGCTTGCAAATACAAAAATGATGCTGATGCAAAAACGCATGCAAGGCAAAAATGCTGCAAATATGAGTTAAAACTCCAAGTAAAAAAAAGCTGCAAACTAGCTCTGCACAGTGGATGACCACTAGGGGGAGACAATCTTCTGCTCATATGTGATCAATCTCATAGAAAAAGTTAAAAACTGTCCTAAAGGGAGATTCAAAGTTTGAAAAATACCTTTTTCAAATGCAGGAAAAGGAGTTTGTGTTACATTTTATATTGTGAAAATTAAACCCACAGCAAAAAAATAAAATAAAATAAAATAAAGACCTTAATCCATTGATATTTGTGCTGTTTCTTGTCACAGTTGCCATCTGGAATCAAGACATCTGCATTTATCAGATCAGAAAAAAATATATTTTATTTAAGGAAGATCATACGATGCTGTATGGATGCCATATATGATTTCTGGTGTTAAATCTGATCTGTGAGTTAATCATTTTAAATTAATGAAAAAGTCGTTCATATTTTTGTATTTTATATTCAGCACCAGTTAAAGTTGAGGAGAAACTTGATACCCATTAAAGTTTTGATTTTAAAAATTATTCTCCTTCCTCCAGAAAGTCTGAAAAAAAAACAAGAGCATGAATTTAAATTTTTATTAAAAGAAATTACATTGTGAAAATAATTAACAGGTATTCTCAATAAAAAATCATCTGAATCCAACGGAAAAGTCAAATATTTTTACTGATTAAAAAAAATATATTTTGATCAAAGGCTCAAAACAAAGAGTAAAATATGTCGAGCCTTTTTCATGCAGTTGTGATGATACTGTGACTCAGCGTATTTCGCAAGATCATTATGAGATGCACAATTTAAACATGCATGTTTGCACTCACTACTTCCTGTAGTGGTGCTTTCTTTGCATGAACTACTGCATCAAAGTGCAGGAGTGTGGAGGCAGTCAGGCTGTAGCATGGCTGAGGTCTAACAGCAATAAAGCAGCGTTCAGATCACCTGAATCGTCGTCTCTGGTGTGTCTGATCCTCTCCATAGATGTTTAGGTCAGTTAAGCAGAGGAACACCACTATAACTGAACTGGCTTTGGCTCCTTTTGCAGAGTGGGTCAGTGCAAAGTCATGCTAAAATAAAATCAGCATCCTCACAAAGCTTTACAAAGAAAGGAAGCTTGAAGTGCCAGAAAATGAACTAGCGCCTTGTTTCTGGACGTCAGGAAACGCAGCAGGCCAACACCAGCAAAACAATTGCTTCATTTAAGGAGAGGACCTTGGACCATACAGCAACAGGCCGATTCTTTTTCTCCTTAGCCAAACTAAAACCTTTTTTGGGTCTGGAGTGACATGATATCACAGGGAGAGGATTACTTTAACAGTCCAATGCCTGGATCCACACTGCATGCATCTAATTTGACCATAAACACAGTGAATAATTGATTCACCTTAGGTTGCTAAACTGGCTAAAACAGACAAAAGCTAATAGATTAGTCTATAATAACTTAAAAATACACACCGTATATAAAGTTGCTTAAGGAGTTTTCAAAGGCACCAAAGAAAGTTCTAAAGTCACTGTTTGCAACCCTGGAATGTCATCTTGTTTTTTCTCCACCGAAAGCAGCGCAACTAGTTAGCTTCATATGCTAACCAGATTCCCAGCGATACACATTTTGTACATTTTAACATTTGATGATATTTAAATGTATTTAGGCAAAATGATACATAATTATATGCTAAATTAACATTTGTTAATAAGCCTAAAAGTGTGGCACCTTTTATTTTTGCTGTGGGGGTGCGCCACGATCAATTGCATGTGGCGGGAACCCCACATGATGACATCTGTGGACAATGCATAGGATTCCTCTACAGGGTTCTTGATGCGGCGATCTCCTTTTGAAGGCCCACAAAGTTCTTCCGATGGATTTGGTGTGATCATCCTCTTGTGACTGCAGGCTTGCCAGTCGCACTTTTTTCCCTTCCACTAAACTAGTTAGTAGTATTTCAGAATCCAGCAGAATGGGAAACTCCTGCTCACCCTCTATGGGTCAGTCACTAATCTTCCCCGACTTAAATATCATCTAATCTTTTTCATTTTCATTGTGTTTAAGCTTTGTTTCCCCTCATGTACAGCACTTTGGATTGTCGTACGACTGAAATTGCTATTTATATAACATATTAAAACCGTTATTGTTCTAATCTTCTGAAACAAAAATTGGGGTTTTCTTTCTCTGAAGGTCAAAATCATTGAATTTAAAAGACAAAAAATTTGAAATATTTCACTATGTTCAAAAAATATACTTTAACTTCTTATGATATTTGTATTTTTAGAGTTCTAAAGTTTCCTGAAGTATTTATTGGGAGAGCAGAACTAAACAGACCCGTTAGATTCAGATTATTTTTTTTTTTTATCTTAGGTGATCGTTCAGTCTTTGAAACCTCCTTTCCGTCACCCCATATATTTACACAGATTCTAGTCAGAACTCTGACTGTGCTGCTAAAAAAAAAACTATAACATTACTTTTATTCAGAAAAATTTGGCAGTAAAATGTAAAATTGTTAGAGGTATGAACAGAGATGGGAAGTAACGAAGTACAAATACTTCGTTACTGTACTCAAGTAGATTTTTCTGATATTTTTACTTTACTACTTATTTTTATGGTGACTTTTTACTTCTCCTTACATTTTTACACAAATATCTGTACTTTCTACTCCTTACATTTTAAAAAATTG